CAATTTTAAACGATATTCAAGTTTAAGGGGAAAATCAATTCTTATGCCTCTTGATGATTTTACTCAGTTAGAGCAGGGTCGGGAAAGTGTTGCTACATGATTCAATGGAGAGTGTGTGAAGAGAATAAAGCTCATTGAAGACACGCGGTCTGCTTTTGCCTGGCCTTGATCTAGAATGCAGTTATTTTCATTTTTTCAGCATTTTTCTCCCGTCTCGATTTCCTTGTTCAATTATCGTTCATTGAAATTATTTTTTTTTGTATAAAGTAAAGAATTGTCATACTAAAAATTTTATAAAGGAAATATTTTCCTTTTCATATTTTTTTATAGAACAAAAATCCAGTCCAGGTCACTATCAGTAAATTGGCAATTTTTTTTTAATTCCCCAAGTGATTTGGACAGGCGTGAGTCACCCTGCATAGTCTCGTCAATAAAGATAAACACTATTTTACTATGAGCTTTTAAATAGAAAATCTATAGAAAACCTGTTAAAGATATGATATACCGAGAGGACCATTAAGACCCATAGACTCACAAGGACCTTCTATTCTTAGAAGATCTCCTAAGGCCCCTTCACCCATAGAAGAACACCTGTTAACAGTCTTCCAACTTTAGAAGACATTTGAAGGTCATCTATACTTATCTCTTCTTTTCTTCGAATGTAACTCCTTCTCACTACATTCTTTGTAATATTTGTCGCCATTATGTTCTAGTCAATCTTACATCACTTCCCATATCAATGCCATTTTAATATGGTCATTTTTCTTTATCAATGACAAATATATCCCGCAGTAATTATTACGTCAACATTTGTTGCTGCTGCTGTTGATATCCACTTTATAGTCCACCCTCAATGGCATTAATAACAAACAAACAAAAAGAGGAGTTCCTTATCGAACAAAAAATTGAAAGAAATAACATACGCAAAGAAATTGACGCAAAGTTGTTGACTGTCGCCTGCCGGCACTTGTCGTTTTGCTAATTGGCATACAAATGCTAATGCACTTATGTGAGTGAGTTACTGTCACCTCATATCGCGCTCAGCTGCATTTGGCGAGCTGAGTGGATTTTTGTGGGCTTCAGGGTTGCACGGTGATTAAGTTCGGAATAACAATGGATAAATCAAATTTCGAAGTCTCAAGGTATTGAGGGAATTATTTTCATAAAATGGGATAAATACTCATTATCGGAAATAGCATAAAATTTTAGCATAAGTTTAGATTTGTTCGATTTGGTCACCTTTGACACGAATTATGGCCTTCAAATGGCCAATGAAACCGTCACACGTTGCCCGTTTTTTGCAGTTGCAGTTTTTCATCTCACCCTGTATAAATGGGCTTTCCAATCCATGTTGGCCGAAATAAGTAGTTACTTTTTTTAATCGACTTTCTTCACTTAAAATCGTTATATACATTCTTATTATTTTTTATATTTACTAATATCGACCTTTAGTAGCCAGGAAATAATTAGTTTTTTCATGCGACATTTTTTCTTTAAAATAATGAATTGGTCACCTGATTTGTAATAATGAGTATTTTTGCTGGGATAATATTTCTCATTTAAAAAGATTTCTTTCTCTTAATTCCTTTTGAAATTTGATATTTTTCAAAGCCATTTAACAACCAAGTCACGGTGCTTCAAAGTGTTCATTCATTCATTTATTCAGCCATCCATAAGGCCGTAGGAACCTGGTGTCACACAGTGACTGGCGTTTCACCATAAAAGTGATAAACAGAGGAAACAATGAAAACAGAATGTGTGATTATCTACCACCCACCACCCCTTTGTTGAGTGAGGGACGCTTTTAGTTATTGTTAGTTTTACAATAGTAATAAATAATAACGATGACCATAAAATATTTAATAAATATTGCTATTGCACTGGACAAAAGACCGTCATTGTACACAAAGTCGAAAAAGGGGGACTACTTCCCTTTCCCCCCAGTGTTTATTTACTCGCGAACAAAACACAAACTTGTCGTTAACCGACAATTTGTTGTTTTTTATGAACAACAGAACGTCATTCGTTCTCCGTTGTCTTTGCTCACTCTGAGTAGATTAAATTTGCTTGGCATTGAAATGTTTGCAACAAATGCAGTCGTTGTCTTCTCTGCCTCAGCTGGCGTCTAAATTGGTATGGAAAGTATTCAGACAAATGCTGTAGCTAATTTCTTTTTTCTTATTTTCAAGATCAAGTTCACAGATCGAGAGATGAAAGAAATGTAATTATCTACGAGAAATGTAAATAAACACAAGACGGAGAGAAAGGGAATCCTATAAAACAGCTTAATAAAAAACAAAAACAAAAACAAAAAACACCGACAAATGACAGATTAATATATCTAAAGAATTTCAAAGTCACGTTTAAATAAATAAACCTTTATGGAATGCCATAGATCATCGGCACTTGTAGAAGTGTACAGTGGCAAACAATTTGCGTTTAATAAAAAAATAATCCTCAGATTATATTCTGGGGGTAATAATGTGATAATAGCTCGGTAGTTAGAATGAATGGTTCCAAAAGTCAAAATACCATATTATTACACCAAAATATCCCTAATCGAGGGTAGACCGATTATCAAAAAAAAAAAAAAGTCCACCTTCTGCATAACCATTATTATTTCTAAAATAATCACAAAACAAAAAAACTGGTAGCGTAGCCCGACGTCAAGGAAGTGTACGGAAGAAAACAGCAACATCAGTAGAAATGGCTCAAAAAGTAAAGAAGCGGCTTAATCGAAAACCGCGTCGCAGTGGCCGAAAATGGCTCTTGAGTTGAACATATGGCAATATTCCATTCGGCAAATATTGAAAAATGGCTCGGGGTAAAGCCATTGAAAATCCAAAAAGTGCAAGAACTTACACTGCAACAGAAAGAAAATCAACTCAAAAGACATAAAGAGTTGCTTCGCTTGGCCGAAAGTGATGAACTGCCGAATTTGGGTTTCTCCGATGAGATTCGTGGTTCAGCTTGTCCAGTTTGTAAACAAACATAATGGTCTTGTTGTTTACTTGCCAAAGAGGTCAGCTAAAAATGTGCACCTTCGGTTGGCCACCATAAATCAAGCGCCGGCCATGGTGATGGTGTGGGCAGCCATAACAGCCGATGGTCGCTCTCCGCTCGTATTAATCGACCGTGCCGAATATTATCGCGAAAATATTCTGGAGGGTGTATTAAAGCCTCGGGCACGCAAATATTTTGGCAGCAGACCTTGGACATTCCAACAGAACTCAGCACCATCGCACTCTACACGCGCCACCCAAGAATGGTTACAAAATGAGGTTCCTCGCTTCATTTCCAGCGCACAATGGGCACCAAAATCTCCGGATACCAATCCGTTAGACTATTGTGTCTGAAGAATTTTGGAAAGCCAGGTTGGCAGTAAAAAATACCAAAATGTCGATCACCTGAAGCAAGTGCTTTGCCAAAATACCGCAGAGCAACATTCGGGCAGCGTGTGACGGTTTCATTGGCCGTTTGAAGGCCATAATTCGTGCCAGAGGTGAACAATTCGACAATTCTAAACTTATTCTAAAATTTGATGCTCTTTCCGACATTTTTTACTTTCATTCAAAAGAATTTAAAAATAAAAATGATAGCGTTTGACTTTGTTGCAGTTTCTCACCCTGTACATATGGGCGTTAAATTCGATGTACTTGCTTCTAGACTAAATTAGGTAGGCTGTGCCAAAATCCAGGTCATACTATTGATATGACATAAAACCTGAAATCGGGTAAAGATATGTATGGGAGCTATATCGAAACCTAAACCGATCTTGACATAATTTTAAACACTTATTTCTGAGCTGTATCTGATATCTGGTACCAAAGATTATTGTTGTGGAGTGCATATTACGCATGTACCCAAGGACTTTAACACCAAATCGGATGAAACATATGTATGGGAGCTATAGCCATATCTGAACTGATTTCTCCAAATTTGATGTACCTGCTTCTAGACTGAATTCAGTCGGATGTGTCAAAATTCAGGTCGTTTGGACAGATATTGGCCATTTGGTGCACAATTAACACGAAATCGGTTGAAGATATATATGGGAGCTATATTTAAATTTGAACCAATTCTCACCAATTTAAATCGGGTTCGTCCATGTGCCAGACAAATATTGGCTGGAAAATTTCATCTCAATCGGATAATAAATGCGACCTGCATTTTGTTCACAATACCACTATATGGTGTTAGGGTATAAAAACAAATTCAACTCATGGTGAGATATTTCCTTAAAATTGTTTTCGACCACTGGTTTTCCCATAGATTTGTGTATATTTACATTATATTTTATATTCCTAACAAACTTCGGGTGTCTCATCATGGAAAATACCTAAAAATAAGTTTGGGACTTAACACCAACATCTGAATCATCCCCACTTTAACACACCGCCCATGTTTATTTTTTTTTGTCCAGTTGCATAGTTATTTATTTATTTGGTGTGTGTTTGTCTCTTTTTAATAAACAAATTAAAAACTATTTTTGTTATTTATTTATTTTTTTCGATATTCGTTTTTGTGCACGTTTCCATTTAGTGTTTATTTTCATTTGCCTGTTATTAGTCGTTATGTCTTGGTGTGGTTTTTTGTTTACATTTTTGGTGTTGTTGCTTTATTGATTTGATTTGTAGGTCATTCAAAAAAAAACCAAAACCCCCATTTTGGAGCTTTGCAAGTGGTTGTTTACAAAAGTAGACAAGTCTCAGCTTTGAAACCTATTTCTCTGCCATTAAGAGAGAAAGAGACACATAAACGGGTATTGCATAATTTAAATTATAATTATATATATATATATACCATAATTATGGTGAACCTCTCTCACATGGATAAGAGAGTGGGGTTTCTCTTGTGCGCTTTGCATGATACTCTTTCAATGGTTTCATTTTACTTCATCAAAACAAACATTTTTCAACAAAGACAAAATTAGAATTTTTAATTAATTTTAATTTATTAATTGATGTATAGTAATGAATTCATTTCCTCTTTTCTTTCAGGTTTTGTTTTTTACATTTTAAAATAGTCACTGCACCACCACCATGTCTTCTGCTAGTCATCTAGACAGTGTCTCAGACACCGAATGGTTAGAAGATCTCCTCAAAGAAGTTCAACTGGAACAGTTCCTAGAACGGATACGAGATGATTTGCAAGTATCAAGACTGGCACATTTCGATTATGTCCAAGCGGAGGATTTGGAACGTTGCGGTTTGGGTAAACCGGCCATTAGACGTCTCATGGAGGCAGTGCGTAAGAAAAAAGCCCAACAATGGCGTAAAAATATTCTATCCAAGCTAATTGGTGGCGGTAAACAGCCATCGTCGAAAAAGTCTTCGAATACCAATAACAAAGAACAACAAAATACTCAACTCACCTGTCTGATACATGAAAAGGACATAACGCTGCACCAAAAACTGGGTGATGGATCATTTGGAGTGGTGCGTAAGGGCGAGTGGCTAACAGCTCCCAATGGCAAAACCTTGCCGGTGGCAGTTAAGGTAAGATGAAATGGTTTCCAAACTAAATTCCTTCACTAAAAACGTTCCCCTTTTTGCTGCAGGTCCTAAAGGCCGACAATCTAACCCAGCCAGGCATCATCGAGGATTTCTTTCGAGAGGTCCAGGCCATGCATGCCCTGGATCATTCAAATTTGGTGCGTTTGTATGGTGTGGTGCTATCCCAACCCATGATGATGATAACAGAATTGGCCGAGAGAGGCTCCCTATTGGATACGCTGCGTAAACAACTCAAACACACACCCCTTACCACAATATGGAATTGGTCGGTACAAATTGCCACTGGCATGGCCTATTTGGAGCAGAAACGTTTTCTGCATCGCGATTTGGCATGTCGCAATGTGCTCTTGGCCTCAGGAAATAAAATTAAAATTGGTGATTTCGGGTTAATGCGTGCCCTACCCCAAGAGGATGATTGCTACGTTATGTCGGAGCATAAAAAAGTTCCTTTTCCTTGGTGTGCCCCAGAATCTTTACGGTTTCGACAATTCTCCCATGCCTCAGATACCTGGATGTTTGGTGTTACGCTCTGGGAAATGTTTACATTTGGTGAAGATCCATGGGTGGGCCTGAATGGTTCACAGATTCTACGTAAAATTGACCGGGAAGGTGAACGGCTACATCATCCCGATGCCTGTCCACCAGATGTCTATGAATTGATGTTGCAATGTTGGGATAAGACACCAGCGGAAAGACCCACCTTTGCAGCCATCAAGTGAGTGACAATTTTATATTTTCCCCAGTAAAACCATTTTAAATTTCCATCTTTTTCAGAGAATTTTTGGTTGGTGTCTCACCCCAGGTGGTTAAGGCTGCCAAGGCCTTTAACGAATCGAATCGTTTGGCCATTGAGGCCGGCGATAGCATTGCCATTATTGATGGCCGACCCGAATTGAAACTGATCAAAGGACAAAACCAAAGAACATTTGATATTGGCATATTCCCGCGTCATATTCTAGAGAAAAGCAAACCCACTAACAGCGATCTCATACGCCACAACCACGAAAGTCTTCGGGCCACTGGCCACTCAGGTTCACCGTTTGGTTTTTGTTGGGGTGGTGCTGGCACTATGGCCACCAGTGCAAGTGATATGCATGCAGAAAGGGCTCGCAAGACCAACTCGTTGCAGGCTCATTCCATGCAACAACTCCATCATGCCAAAGAACGAAAGTCAGTGGTGAATAAACAGTTCTCCTATAATAAATTGGTTAATGAAAGGGCTGCGGAAATGCAACGCTATCAACAGCAGCAGCAGAAAGGTGGCAATAAGAAAAAGGGTCCACAAAGGCCTCCACCACCCCAGCAACAACAACAGCAGCAGCAACAGGAAGGTTTACTCATTGATATTTCCCCTGAATTTGGTGGTGTCGGGCCACCGCAACAGGGTCCCCTATTGCATTTGGGTGAAAGTGCCTCAATGCATGTCGACAGTTCATTTTGTATACTCGATGCACCCATTGATGTTCCTACCGAGGGAGAGGGTGAATTTTTGGATAATGACAACACATCTGTAATGCCTCACACACCCACAATGCCGTCGCAAATGCAAACGCAAACACAATTTGAATTTGCTGGTGCTTCCCCATCGCGTTTGCAACCGCCACCCTATCAAATGCCACCCACCTACTCAAATACATTGGAATTTTGCCAGCAGCAACAGCAACGTGGAAATGATCCATTTGACACAAGTAAAATCAATGTAAATGGCAGTCCGACACAACAGGTAGCTGGAGGAGGAACGACAAATGATGATATTAATGCTTTATACTCGAATGTAATGAAAATGCAGCAGCCAGCGCAACAGGATACGCCGTTGAGGTAACTAGAAATGATAGCGTAAATTGGAAGATCTTTTGGTATCCATGAGAATGATTATGGGCTATCCCTGGTGACCATAAGACCACTTGATGGCATTTCTAGGGCCTAATATTCTTTTATTTCACATTTTGCTCCTTGTGAAGTTGAGTAATGGTTTGATTCGGAGGTCTTTGGTCCACTTTTCTTCGTTCAAAGAAGACAAAGAAGGGGATGATTTTAGCAAACCAATGGATGATCATGGAATGTCTGATGAAGTAGATGTCTGTAGCTAGTTTTCGATTTCCTACTCAATTCCCATTCCTACGTAAAGGTTGGTCGCCCCCTCGGTCGGGGGTGAGGAAAGAGAGGCGTGGGAAAGTTCGACAAGAAATATCGTTAGTTCATCTACCAAATAGCCTATGTCTCCCGTTAAATAGCGCGGGGTAGTGTTCAATTGTACTACCTCTTCTTGTCAGAATGGAGCATGTTCGTCCTTTCGATATTACCGGTAAGATGGCCAGTGCCATATTTTGCCTGCTTCCTCGATGAGAGGCTGTCTCAATAGCTTATAGGTGGATTGACAGTCTCATCGAACGGTAGATCAATGACTTGAAACCGCCTGAAGTTAATTCATCAGCATCGAACATTTCATTCCCTACTTTGGAGCTATACACTGGGACCCAACAAAGCATTATAAATTCACCTATTTCCAGGTCGGTCAAGAAAGGTCCTTGTTCTTTTAGTCTTCCATAAGACCATTGATGGTCTATAAAACATCCATGTGATATTGAGGAGTTTTGTGGTACAGTCTTCTAAAGGGCTGTTCTTCAAGAGCTTTTTAACTTATGGTATCTAATATATCTTGGTCTTCTATAATACATTTTGGATTTCCTAAGTACCTTTATAGAGTCTTTTAATAGGGTTTTTAATATGACAGACCATTTGGAATTTGTAACCCCTTTTACCTTTTCACAATTTCTGTACTACTCGTATTTTTTCCAATATAAATTTCTTTCTAACCCATGTCTATTTTGTTTCTTGCTTTCAGAAAAACTTCCCTGCAAAATTCCAATTCAAATTACAACAGTCCAGCTGCACGAAAAAGCCTCTTCGGTGGTGGTGGTGTATCCAATGCCACAACAGCTTCCAATATTTCCATTACAGGCAACAAAGAAAATATACCACAACTAACAAACGACTCAGCGACACAACAAAATCTTCCAAGTCTAAGACAATATGAGGCGCTGCAGTCACAGCAAGCCACGGCAATTTCCGCCGCAGAAGATTCAGCTCTTCAGAAAAACCTAAGCACCCTTTCACTGGAAAAACAAACCACAATCCAAACTACGGTCAACGATGCACAAGTGGTTTTGGATAAAAATTTCATTGCCGAACTGGAAAAGGATATGTATTCGAATAAGGGTCACAATGATTTTGAACGCAACACAACCCAAATGTATTCCAACAAGGAAGCCGTCTATGCCAATAAACAAAATTTAACACCACTTAAAAATTCCTCCAACTCCCTGTCGAATAACTCAAGTCCCTCTTCGAATAATGGTGCTTCACCGAAAATGCACAATGCCGAGCGCCAAAGTCAATATGCTGCCAGTTCATTTTATGCCAGCAATCAGGACTTGCAAAAACAAAATAATTTAGATAATGCCTCGGCTGCATCCAATGTATCCAACACTCAAAGTGTTGTTAATCGTATCTGGTATGAACGGGTTGCCAATCCCTCAGAGTATTATGCCCAACCCACAGCCGAAAATATTTACTCCAATCAGGGAATTTATCAAGCCACTCCTGCCGCTGCCACAACCAACCCCACAGATGCCAATCATAGTTTTGTGGCAATTTCTAATCGTGTTGTCCCGCCCAAAAACGCAAATCAAGTCTACGCCTCATCTGCATCAATTTATGGTAGTGTAACGGGTCCAGGTGTTTACGATACCGTCGCTCCCACACCCTCAACTTATTATGGACAGGTGCCACTCAGCCATATGGGGGCGAATGGACAAATCTATGCCAATGGCAGTGGCCAACCGGCAATTTATGATGAAGTTGCTGGTGATGATTACCTTAGACCTCATCGACCTGCCCCACTGGCTCCACCCCAGCTATCGGCCCAACAAATTCAACGTCGTTTGGAAAAGCTGAAGCGCCAACAAGAAGCCCAAATGGAAGGTAGCACTAATTTATATGCCCCAATACCATCCGAATTCGAGAGGGAACAACAAAAACTGCAGCAAATGATGCAGGATCTTGGTCCAAATGCTCAGGAAATCGATGTGCGCAATGCATTGCGTGCCGCCAGTGGTGATACAACATTGGCCATTCGCCACTACAAAATCGATCAGTTGTCAAGGTAAGAAATTTATAGGTTATTTCTTGGAGATTTAAGAAGATTTATATTTAGTTTTTGTCGAAGCAAATAGGTATTGCCAAAGCTTGTTTTAGTAGGGCACACCGATGTACTGAATAAATGACAGATAAGACTGATAAATTGTTTCAAGCTAGTTTTTCGTATAGAGATCTGGAAAAGATATTCTTTTTCGATAGAAAATGGCACTCGAAATCTTTAGGAGACTTTTTTGTGGGTCTTAGCAGTAATTGGATAAATCTGATTTATTAAAATCTCCTACCAGTTTCGGAAATAGTGTCCCGCTTTAGGAAACTCCCTGTTCCATTTTACAGGATTTTTCCACGTACGCAATGTTGCTGTGGTACAACCTTGTAAACAGTTACGCTGATGATCAACAACTGGATGTTTTAGTTTGATTTTAGAATACATAGCTATACGGAGTCGGCAACGACTCTCGATTTAATGGCACTTGAAGTTATAGCTTTAAAAGCCAACTGACTATCGATATATATAGTCACTGGCCCTGCTACGCTATTGTAAAGTTTCCTTACCATTTTGGCAGTCTTCTTGATGACAAGAGTCTTCTTCTGAAACACGCTACAATTGCCGTAAAGTTTATGAGAGTCTTTTAATTGGACACGGACAGAATACGCCAGCTCATTTACCCTCATTAGTATTCGGACCGTCTGTGTATATTGCCAGACCATCCAGAGATATTCATTTAATTGACTTTATAGCAATTGGATAGGGGAAAGTAAAGCCTTAAGACTCTTCCCTGCTGGCGTCAAAGCAGAAATCCGTTTTTATGCCACTTGACCACTGGTCTTGTTATACTATTGCAAAGATTTCTTACCATTTTCGCTGCTTGTTTCTTTGCAAGAATCTCCACCTGAGCATTATTCCAATTGTCATTAGGTTTATATGCGCCCTAATAATTGGAATCGGGCAGAATACGCCAACACTGGTGTCTTCATACATGTTGGAACCGTATGTGTATATGACCAGATCGTCCATAGATGGTTCACTTATCTGACTTATTCGCAACTGCATAGCTTCTTCTTATGATGGTAAGGAGCAAAGCCCCAAGAGTCGTTGATACTGGAGACAAAACTGGAATCGACTTGCATGACTCTCTTTGTTAGGATTTATGCGTGGTTTTAGTAGCGGGACTATCCGGCCCATTTTTCATGCTTCAGGAGCGATGTGGGTTGTTAGCGACAGGTTGAGGACTTTTGATATATATTCAACTCCCGGAGTATCCAGCTGAGATTCAAATCAAACTCTGTCCTAGCTTACGAATGACATTTGCAACATCACCCATCTCAAACTGTCAGTATGCCCTTTTTCCCAGGGTTTGAGAGCGATTTAACCGTTAACGGCAGCTTGCTCATATTGGTTCCAGTGTTGCAACCCTTTAGATGGTCTATCGACTTTTTCCTCATATGTTCCTGTACCAATCGGTTGACCTCCCCTGTCAATTAATATAGCTCCTCCTTTAAGGCTCATACGTTAGCACCTTTGCATCTGCTGGGAAATTCCGTTAAAGGCTGCAGTTGTGATTATGTTTTTCGAGAAAAAATTCTGCTACCTGAATATCAAGAGGGTTAAGTAGTTCAATGAAGCGACGGTTGGAGAAGTCTCTGAATTCTGTCTAATGAACTTTTCCATTGTTCAGGAAAGTATGGCATTCAGAGTATATGAAATTGAGTTATTTTCTTATCTAGCCGATAATGAGGAAATGGTCCGATCCAAGAGAAATTAGGGGTTACCAAGTCACTCACTGCGGTTCTAGTGAACGTTGACACTCGCCTCTTATTCGGGTGGAGATGTCCTCATTTACCGTGTGTAACAATTGATCTTCTTTGCCAGTGCTGATCCCCTCAGGTCATTACCTCGGTCGGTAGGCCATAACTAATGGTGGACATTATTAACGGACAGGATAAAGACATAAAGCATCTTGGCAGTTCCACATTTGACTACTACCACCATACATTCATGTGCGTTTTACTAGAGACTAGCAGCTCCAGCGATATAGGACTGTATGGAACAGAATGATGTAACAGGAACGCTAATATCGCCCACATCCACTTCGAATGTGATCCTTTTTCAATACGTTGTAATTATAACAACGCTTTAGGCTGCAATTGCCAAAAATAGTGCATAATCCGAAATAGGAACAGCTTAACAGCACCTGACACCCACATACCTGATAGGTACACCTGGGCCCTTATCCATCCACCTTTGTGCGGCATAACTTTCTATACCGACGGTTCAAAGATGGAATGCGGAACGGGAGCTAGTGTCTTCTGTGACACTCTTAATGTTTGCAAATCCCACAAGCTTAGAAACGACTGTAGCGTATTCCAGGCGGATATTTTTGCAGGCGAATTGGCTAGGCTAGGGTCCAAATAAACTACCATTGAAGTTGAGGACTCGGTCAAACCACCCCTATGTCACTTTCTACAGGTAATTCATAGACACTTCTCTGAGAGAATTAAAAAAAATGGCTGAACGAAAGGGGATGCAACATCTCAAAAAGAATTTGGTCCACTCTCTCGGAGAAGAGAAAAAAGTCGCTGCTGTCATTGTCGAAACCTGTCTTAAAACTTTTGGTGGGTATCATCACAGTTACTACTGATTCAGTTAAAAATTGAGGCAAAAACTTCTAAAAATCGAATTTTCATGTTACAGTTATTCATATTTAAATAACTTTTTTTAATTTCAATATATTTTTTAGATTGGGCCTTGCGAATCGTTCACTTTGCGAGCAGGCATTACAAAAAACTGGTTGGAGTTTGGAATTGGCAGCAGCTGTTTTATTGGAATCCACCACGTAAATTGTCATAGTCTTAAACCTTGATGCATCCAAAATAAAATATGGTCACCGACACAAGCATACACATCATACCATTCCACTGTCCCTATATGAGAAAGAAAAGTATTAAGTTAAATTAAAATGAAAAGAATTTAAAACTTCCCCCCACTAATTTTGTGATCGAACAGTACAATACGATTTATCAACAAAGGAGATATATATGAAATACTGATTACTAAAAAAAGATACTTTAGTTACTAGAAGAAGAATTTTCAGTTATTGTGTTGTAAATGATTCAACCGTCCCAGCTGTAGATAGAAAAAAATAATTATGTATTTGTTTTGTACCAAATGTGAACAATAACATATATTATATTCATCCCGAAATGTATGTCATCCTTTGCCATCAATGCCTGAACATTGTCTCCCCATAGAAACAAAATCGATACTATATTTTAGTCTATTATTTGAATGCTTGCTTTTAATCACTGTAAATATAAGTATTTTATATTATAAAAATTTAATTTTAAATTTTGCACTTCATCACAAAACAAGACAAACAAACCAGTTATGGCCCCTTAAAGTAGTGGTAGATATTCTTTGCAAACCGAAACTATCTTTATTTGGCCTTTAGTTTTAAGTTTGTTTTTCTATTGAATTACAAATTATATTTTGTACGTTTATTCTTTTTGTTAGTTTTTAATTTAAATCACATTAAAATTTTATGCTTATTTTCTTAATTTTATGAATTTTGCCCATCAATCCCCCCACTCCCTTTGCATTTCTTTTATTGCCTGTAATGCAAATTTATCGAATAGCATCAATCTATGTAATATAAATGAGATTTAGTAATTAGATGAGATAATTTTGTAAGGTATTGTAATCTGCTAATAGATATTTCGTAAATATATAAAAATAAATGTTTATATATATATATATGACAACAAATTGATATTATCCCGAAGTGTAACAACAAAACAACCTACTATATAACCCTGTATGTACTACTCTGTTGTTATTAACTGCTGAAAATTTGTTATGCCACAACACAACACAACCCAAAACACAACATGAATGTTAAACAAATGCTAACTAATGATCAAATTATATGTGAACAATAACAACATTTTGAAAATAAAACAATATTATGTTTAAAAAGAAACAGATTTTATTTTATTTATTTTATACGAAGAGTAGTGGGCCAATAAGTCTCATATTCATATAAGATGCATGGTAGAAATATTGAGATATACAAAAATATCTGTATTATTATGAGAGTAATAATTATTCAAAATATTGAAATTTTTTTAAGGAAGGTCCAGAAGAAGTGAGCGTATTTTAGTTTTATCTTACCTAAGGCTAATTCAAAATAAATAAAAAAGTTGCTAGTTCGGCCGGTCGAACTTTGAATACCCTGTGGTACAAATTTGGCAATTTTCAAAAAAAAAAATAAATAAAATCCATTAAAAATTCTGTTAACATCTTAAAAATACCGAATGTGGCCGTATATTAGGGTCTATACGACGACGTGGACCTGCATAGGCAACTTTTGTCATAAGCTATTAGAATATTCAAATGCGAAACTTGAAAAAACCTGTTTATAATGTAGCTGAAATCATCAAAATAACGAATATAGGGAGGTACTATGTGGGTTATAAAATGAGGACCTGAACAGACAATTTTTTTGGCATAGGCTTTAGTATCCATTACGAACTTCAAATACAAAATTTGAAACAATTCCGGTAAATAATGCCCTTAAAATCATCAAAATACCGAATATCCAGGGTACCGTTATATGGGGAAGACGTGGACCTGCAGAGACAATTTTCTATCATAGGCTGTAGCATCTATTACGAACTTCAAATGCGAAAGTGGAAACAATTCCGGTAAATAATGTCGCTAAAATCATCAAAATACCGAATATCGGGGGGTACTGTTATATGAGGGCTATACGAACACGTGGACCTGCACAGACAATTTTCTATTATAGGCTGTAGTATTCATTACGAACCTCAAATACCAAATTTAAAATAGTTCCGGTAAATTATGTCGCTAAAATCATTAAAATACCGAATATCGGGGGTTCCGATATATGGGGGCTATACGAAGACAGGGACCTGCACAGACAATTTTCTGTCATAGGCTGTAGTATTTATTAAGAACTTCAAATACCAAATTTGAAAAAATTCTGGTAAATAATGTCTCTAAAATCATCAAAATACCCTATATCGGGAGGCAAAAACTCCATGGAAAAGAGCTGGGGGCTGAAGCCGTATATCATCAAATGGTGATATGAGTCAAATGTCCGTCCGATTGTGACCTATAGATGTTTATTTTGGTGGCACTCTCTAGGGAAACATTGACAAAGTCCAAAGAGTGGAATCTCTATTAACTACAGGTGCACTTGGGAGCACACCTCAGTCTGCTTTGGACACCCTATTTAACTTTAAGCTCTTAAGTATATTTGAAGAGGAACAAGCAGCAAGATGTGTTCTGAGGCTCAATGAGCTTGGTCATCGGCGGCCAATCATTTGGACATTCCGTTTTTTTAGGTATGTGGAGTATGTGGAGAATATAGAGGGTCGGATTTTGAACGGTGACTATATATCACCTAAGCTAGACTTCGAAACTCTGTACATCCACTTACCTATCAGGGACATTTGTACCCCAAATTCTCCACCTTTCAGTTGTATAGCTATCTATGCCGATGATTCTAAGATGGAAAGTGGAACCGGTACTGGTGTTTTCTGCGAAAGCCTAAATATTCGGAATTCATTCAAACTCTATAAAGACTGTAGCATATTCCAAACCGAGATCTTTGCTGACAGGAAAGTCGTAGAATTGCTGATGAATAGAACAGTTGAGCTGAACGGACGGGTGACTATATATGTCGATAGTCAAGCGAATCTGAAAACGCTAAATTCATCCACAATCAAATCTATGGCAGCTCTGGAATGAGGGATTGCTGGTAAAAACTGAAGTGCTTTATCAAGCTGAGTTGGGTCCCTGGCCACAGCAATATCTCAGGCAATAAGGTAAGCATCTGAAAGATTGAGAGCTCGGTGAAGCCACTCTTCTCTCAGATAAATATTAGTCTGGGAAATTTTAACATAACGCATCCAGGAAATTTTGTCCGGTGATACTCGAAAAGAGATCTCATAATTCACTTCCATATGGGAAGTCTGACCTAAAATTTGTAGTAGGTGTAATCAGAGGTCATTGTTATATCAGGGCCACGGCTTAAAGTTAGGGGGGAAAGGGTGGGGGTTACGATACTGACTACTGCAGGCTTTCCCAAGACTAGGATGAGATAGAAACTGCGGAGTACTTACTCTGTCATTGTCCAAATCTTTTTGCTGTCAAACAGGGTCTTACGGGTAAGCAAATTCTGCACGACCTATCTTCACTCTCCGATATTCAGCCAACAGTAATTCATTAGTTAGATAGAACACTAAATTGGCTAAAGACAACACGGCACTATCTCCTTACGTTTCTACTGCCTTTTCCCTTGTCTCTAAATTCGGATGATCACAATGGACAAGCAGGACTCCGAGTAGAGTGGATGCTTAAGCCAAGGCGCATCCTCTAACCTTACCTAGGAGGTGCCGGAGGTGCCACATCTACGAACTGGATCTAAATTCTGATAAATAATATTACGATGTACCAAGTTTGGATGAAATCAGATATTCTCTTCGAGACAGATATTGCTAGATCAACTTCAAATGCCCTGAAATGGATTAAGTCCAAAGCGACCTATGATCCAGAACCGTTATCTCGACGAGGCACATTTTGATATATACCCTCCGTAGCCATCTGACTGATGAATTACTGAGGCTTAGTGTATAAGTAAAGAATCATTAATAACTTTCTATGGCGTAGGGTATTAAAAAGAAATTTTATATTTCACACACTTTCCATACTTCACATGATGTAAAATTTCCATTCACTACTTAAATATGCTTACCCCTATTTGTAAGAAATTATCAAAACGGTGGGTGATCACTATTGAGATCAATATCCCACGGTTAAGAAAATAGGTTTTAATGTTTACTAACGACACTTCTTTCACCCATCAACTCACTCGATTATTCATTGATAATTTCTAATTACATGGTCATCTAACTGGGCAGACAAAAAAAAAAACAACAACAACAGCATTTGGCAAAATGTTTTCCGAAAGCATGTTTGTTTCTTAAGAACGAACGAACCCTATTGAAATTGGAGATAATCGGTAAAAATTTAGATATAGCTCCCATATATATCTTCGTCCGATATGCCTTTTATTGTGCACCAAACGTGTAATATCAGCCCGAATAGTATGGAATTTTGCACATACAACCAAATTAGGCCTGAAAATAAGTATGCCAAATTTTATCGAAATCGGTTCAGATATAGCTATAGCTCCCATATATATTGTTCATCCGATTTATTGTATTTGTTACCCACAGCCGTAATATGCACTCCGTAACAACGATATCGAGATCGGTTCAGATTTGGATATAGTTCCCATATATATTTTTATCCGATTTCAAATTAATTTCGCACCAAATGGGTATTGCCCAAGTCCGAATTTAAAAGATACGAATGCTTCGGCATATTTAGTCCTTTGAATTTTAAATTATAATTATAATCACAGCCTGTATGATTGAATTCTCCCATAAAAACTTTTAATTATTAAGTGGAGCTCAACTAAATTAGCAAAGTGGTGTAGGGTATTATAAAATCGGCCCCGCCCGACTTTAGGACTTTCTTTACTGGTTTTAATATATGTTACATTAATCATTTAATGAAGAAACACCTTGTTGGAAAGAAATACATCAGAAATTGGATAGATCACATGTTTCGGTAAATTATTTGGTTACTCTCACGCAAGGCAAAGAACCAGCTCCAATGAATTTAGAATAATAACTTCCCCCACAAAATCTGAAATCGGGGTCCGGTATTGTTCAAACTTATTAGATTTTCTCCTGAAATCTCCTCACAATTTTCAATTCGGATATTTGGTGTTTTAATGATTTTAGCAATTTTTTTACCGGAATTTTAAAATAATTGCGTATTCGTATTTAAAGTTCGTAATGAGTACTACATCCTATGCCAAAAAATTGCTAATGCATGATTCGTATAGCCCCCATATAGCGATACCCCCCGGTATTCGCTATTTTGTTGATTTTAGAGGTTTTGAGGTTTAAAAATACCTCCTTTTCGGTAATGAAATATTTTAGGGTAAATAAATATTTTTATGGGAGTCACCTCATCAATCACAATCAGGATTTTAGTACTTGTGCTTGTAATGGACGACTGCTGATCCACCTTCACCCACCCCTGTATATTAATTATAACTGACGTAGGATATTTTTTTATTTTGCTAAATATCTCTCATTATCTACCCATTTGGAAGATGAATTTAATATGTAACTCAATTAAGACGTCTAGAAATATTTCCCAAAAGCCAGGTGAAATGAAAAACTGCAATAAAGTTCAGACTGCTGTCATTTCTAAGCCATTCGTCCGATAGCTGTTAAAATTATTCCAGTGACAACTCATTATATTGTTTACAAGCGTACAAAAGCATTTTGGTGAGAATTTTCCAGAAAAAAAATTATTCGTGATGGAATTCGAGCGTGATAGTGTGATTTCTTTATATTTAGCAGGAAACCCAAAAGTGGCTATCATTAGAGCACTTCAGCATTTAAATGTGAATAAATCTTTTGTGTCTCGTACCATCGCTCATTACCGTGATAATGGTAGCGTAGCCCGACGTCAAGAAAGTGGACGGAATAAAACAGCAACATCAGCAGAAATGGTTCGAAAAGTAAAGAAACGACTTGATCGAAACCCGCGTCGCAGTGGCCGAAAAATGGCTCGTGACCTGAACATATCGCAATATTTCATTCGGCAAATATTAAAAAATGATCTCGGGGTAAAGCCATTGAAATTCCAAAAAGTACAAGAACTTACACCGCAAGAGAGAAAATAGACTCAAAAGAGCTAAAGACTTACTTTGCTTGCCCGAAAGTTGCCGAATTTGGTTTTCTAAAATGAGAAAACATTCGTTGTCCAGCAGTTTTTAAACAAACAAAATGATCGTGTTTACCTGCCAAAGAGGTCAGCTGAAAATGTGCACCTTCGTTCGGCCACCAGAACTCAAGCGCCGGCCATGGT